GACCCTTTCTCCTCTGTGTTGAGCACGTGTTAGACGGTGGAATTACCTCGCTTGAATTCGGTTAATGTGCCTCTCGCTTTGTGGTTTGGAATTTTATCACTCTCTCTCTCTTGCTCAACGACACCGTGAGAAATATGCTTGTACGAAATCTCGATTGCTTTATGCACAGCATTGAATGTTTGTGAAATTCCTTAGGCTCGACTGTTCCTAATGTTCACACGACCGAAGATAGGCGTGCGGCGAAGCTCTGCGGTAGCGAATCGAAGTTGGCCTCTGAGGTTTGGTGTGCATAAATGACAGTGACTTGAACTAATCGACGAGCACCAACTGCATCTATCTGCGTTCTTAGGCTAGTAATTTTCTGTCTTATTTTGGACATGTTTCATTGTTTTCGCCACTCAGTTGTGTGTGAGTTGTTTTAATTCAATAGCAACATAATTAAACGATCACTGCGCCGGAATCCTGGAAGTAGTTTTGGCCAATTCATTCATCAACTGTCATACACTCCCTCCGAGAAATTTGTAATGTCCCGCAGAAAAACTTCCTCTTATTTCTCTACATCGATGTTCATTTTCCCTACAGAATTTATGAAGCTCAACGATCGAAATGTTACCCCTACTGGCCAGAGACGGTGCACCGGAAACTCTATTTCTCCTCCGGATATCCCGGCACCATGCCCAACCCAATCGATTCATCCAGTTCTGGCACGGCTTCCAAAGACCGCTCGCACCCGATTGCCGAATTCGAAGTGGAGAACGTGGCGTGCCGCATGGATGAGCATTTTGCCTGTAGTACGTTGCGCCTCACCCACCTGCCGGTACGTTTATCGCTTGGTATTTGTTCTTTCTTGTCCCCTTGTCTCTCTCTCTCTGACGTTGCTTTCCCATCACTGTATCGACAAATGCGCGTGCACAAAATCTCTGCCTTTTAATACCGGCCTGCATCACCGTTTACAGTCCATTCACAGAATCTCGAATCCACTTTCATTCGTGTTTGTGTGCGCGCGCCCGCGCTCCCGTACAGACCTTGAACCGTAGCTCTCTTTTTTGTGCCACAAGTGCGCATCTCAGTGCGTGTGTGTGTGTGTGTGTGTGTGTGTGTGTGTGTGTGAAAGATATAGCTTTGAATCTGAAT